CTTTGCGGTCACTATGTCCCCTGCTGTTGAGAACACTCTCTCAGAAGGAACTGAAGAGCCTGGCACAGCGAGATAGCATCTTGCCATCTTGGCAATATGAGGGTATTTACACTCATTGCTTTTCCACCATGTCAGTGGATCATCATCTACTGTAATGCTGCTTGCTGCCAGGTAAGATGCCACCTCCTCTTTGATGATGTCAGCAGGAGTCTTGCTGTCCATGTCTTTGCTGGCAAAGGTCTCACCAAAAAGCTCAGCCATTGCTGACTTCTTTTGTGGAGGAGATGTATCCAAGTTTGCTCCTGTTGGCTCTGCAGCTTGACCCTGCAGAAAAAAAAATAGTTGATTAATTATACCCATTATTTATTTTTATTTATTTTATTTTTAATTATTTTATTTTTATTATTTATTTATGTTTCATAGACATGAAAAATGTGGCAATAACATTTAATGAAACAAAGCCATTATTACTGTGGGGAAAAAAACTATTTAGATTTAAATTTATCATTTTTAAATAATATTCTTTTTCTTTACCTCATCACAGTCTTCAGTGCCCAGACTGCTCACAATCTCAGTGGTGAGGTCACTGTATGTCCTCTGGCGTAGGGCAGGGTCCATGTGAGACAGGGACTTGAACCTTGGATCCAGGGCAGTAGATCTATTAAGGTAGTCCTGCAGAGAAGGGGGTGAAGTGTATCTGGGCTTCAGGTCCTCTCTAATGGCAGCCTTGACATCTTGAGTAATGGTGCTGTCTTCCACACTTGGGGCCATTGATTGTAGAATTTTTGTTTTCAGCGGCACGATCATTGACACAGATGGTGAAGTTTCAATGCTCAGCAGAGATGTAACGGTTTTGAGGGGTTTAAGCACCTGGAGGACTTTCTTCTGCCACTCTCATATCATCATCAGACAGGGTGATGTCTTTGACATTTTTTTTCAGGGTCTTCTCGGTCAATGCAGAGTAAATAGCTGCCTGCTGCTCCAGATAACGCTCCAACATATCATAAGTGGAGTTCCACCTTGTTGGGACATCATGTATGAGCTTATGAATAGGCAGCTTTAGCATTTCTTGCTTCGTCTTAAGCACATGAGCAGCTGTTGTGCTTCGGTGGAAGTAGGAAACCACCTTCCTAATCCTCCCAAGGAGGCGGTCCATCCTATTGACTGAGATTCCCTTCTGTGATGCCAAATTCACTACATGTGCAAAGCACCCTATCTGTGGGCCTAGTCCTGCCTCATTCACTGCATTTATTTGATTTTTAGCATTATCAGTTGTGACTGGGATATTAATACTGGGCCTCTTTAACTTCCATTCCTCCACTGCTTGTATCAGAACCTCCGCAAGATGAGTGCTCGTGTGACTCTCGTAGAGTGGGCGTGTCTGCAGCACCGGACTTCTCATCTGCCAGTCTGCAGTGATGAAGTGAGCGGTTATCGTCACATAGCTCTCCGTTCCCCTAGACGTCCACCCGTCTGTCGTGAGCGCAACAGAGGATGCTCGGGATAGTTCATCCACAACTTTTTTCTTTTCCTGCTCATAAAGATCTGGCACAATCTTTTCACTAAAGTGGGTGCGCGATGGGATGTCGTAAAGTGGCTCAAGCACTTTTAGGGGCTGCTTAAATGCCGCGGTAATAAGTGGTTGTTGAGCTGCCTTCGTTTTCACTCCTGTCAGTGAAACACCGGGGTGATGTCACTTCAAATGCGTGGCCATGCTTGACGTGTTTCCACTGTCATATGGCTTTCTTGTGCCACAGTGCCTACACACCGTCTCGGTTTTATCCACTAACCTCTTTCCTTCATCATTATATTTGACGGGAAATCCAAAATGCTCCTACAGGAGATTTAAAGCTCCCAAAAGGAGAAGTTCAAGCTCCTCCGTTCCTCCGCTCGCCATGACGAAACTGAGTGTTGACTGAACATGCGCATTTTTTTTTTTTCATAATCAATCCGCGGATCACGTGTGTGCCGAACCGAAGACATTGATCCGAACGGATCACGGATCAATGATGATCCGTTGCACCACTAGTGTTTACTGTTAGCCCAGTTAGTGGATGAACACTAGGACATCATTAAAGGTAAATTCGGGACGGGTATCACAGCACAAGAGCAAGAAGCGGACATGAGAGCTTATAGCGCAAATTATTAACGGTTCATTCCCCTGCTTGTGCGCGCCAGCGAAATTCAGTTTTTTGAGCCTGCAAGGTGGGAATGTCCCGTGGAAACTAAATGAACTGCGACACAATAAGAGGTTCTGAAAGTGCTGTAATGTTTGTGTGATCACTGTTTACAGAAGGTTGTGACAGACCCAAATCACTGCTACTTATTGTATTTTCCCATTTGCCACAATACAAATATCTTAGTGAATACTTTCATTTCTGGTGTTATGGCATTCCTGTGTTGTGTTGGAGATATTAGCGTTTCTCTAATAAGATCAATCACAAACATTTATTAACTCACTGTGCAGCCATTGTATGCAGCACATTTCTTCTCCTTCATCGCTCTGGCATTTTCTCTTCTGCTAAATAAACTCTTAAGCCTCTTAAAAGTCATCATCCGTACTCCTAACAATTTTGAACTTAAGACCTCTTTTAAGGGTTAAGATACTCTCTGAATTACTTTTTTCTTTACTAGGATCTTTTCTTTAATTTTAAGAGTAAACTCCCACATTTCTAAGAATTTTCTTAGAATTTAGTCACTAGGAGCGACTCTTTGCACTAAAATTCTTTATGGTTACGGGCCCTAAAGATTCTGAGAATCCTCTCAGAGACCTCCTAACTTAACCTAAAAACTCCTTGCCAGGAGTTTTAGCTTAGAAGTGATTCCAGAACATTTTCAGTGAACTCTGAGCAAGGAATGGATGGAAAATCCTATCTTAGTGAGGAGGTGTGGTTGACCCCGTTGCTAGGTATGAGTCATCATTTCAAAAGCCATGATTGGTTGATCCTACAAGTTTGATGAAAATAAATTTTTGGTGATAATGAGCAAAGGATGTACCCTCAAATCAATAAACATAACTATACACTCTAATCTTATGCAGACTGTAATTGTAAATAATATTTCACATTCAAGAAAATATCTGGAAAATGAATAGTAAAGCCTAGTTCACACTACATGATTTCAAAACATCGGGCTGAACTGTGCAGTTCACACTTCATAACTTGCTCTCTGTGAAATCAGGAGTGTTCAAGTTGTTGAGCCGTTCACACCAAACGACACATCATGATTGATCCGCAACTGGAGCTGACGCACTACAGGATTTGACAACAACTCTGTCACCCAACGATTCAATCTCATCTACAAGCGTTCGCAGGGATACGGCCCTGATCTTAATGTCCTCAACAGTAAAGTCTAGAATTAATAAAGAAAATGCATTATTCATTAATTCTCAGTTATGCACCCCCACTAATTCTTTTGTTTTAATTCTCTGTTTCAAGCTAAATATGACAATTAAATCCTTGAACTGAATATCCTCTTACTTCACAATATAATATATCACAACAAACAGAATTACAGTAAGATTTAATGTACATTTCCAATAACATTTTTCTCACTGTTTGAGGGCGTTTGTGATTTCTGTCCACCTTTTCTCTTTCTGGATGCGGTTGTGGTACATCTCATGTCCAACATCATAAAGGCATTCATGCTCCTGCCACAGTTCAATTCAATTTTGATCTAAATCTTGAGTCCATTGCTTTCTTGACATGTTGCTGATCTTTCTGCAAACTCCTATTGGACGTGTTTGTTCGAAAATCGCGCATTTCGCGTATTTACCCGGTGACCTCAACCCATACCTTGCTCTGATTGGCTCTAGCTCATGACATCACTGAGATTGAGTCACGCGACAGCTCTGGATATCTAGCATGCTAGATATTTTTCTGAGCTCGGTGACCTGTTTGCGAGGTGTCTGCGAGCTGTCTTTGATGCGTTGTTGGCTCTTTCATACTAACAGATTGGCGAGCGTTAAGCGTCCGCTAATCGCCCGCGATTTGCACGCGATAACACCCTGACTTGTCGGTGACTCAACGATTTGCAAATCGGGCTTAAATCGGGCTTAAAATCATGTAGTGTGAACTAGGCTTATAAGCTGTAGGGGTTATAGCCTAACATTAGAATCTATGTGAAAACTTAAGCTCATTACACCCTGTTCAAATAATGATTTGTGACTTATTTGCTCATATTAATATCCTAGCTGGTATATTTTGTACTTTCACTCCCATATGGACCCCATTGAAAACAAGATCTCAAGGGACTGTCCTTAATGAAGTAGAAATTGCAACATTACAACTCAGTGTGGTCTTAAAGAGGGTAACACGGCTCAGCTTTTATCAATGTCTGTGATTGCTGGCTGGTCTATTTATGAAGGCTTGTTAACATATATCCTACAAACACAGAAAGCTCCTAAGCCACTAAAAGTCCTCTTCCCTGCTCTTAGCAGATCTCGCCTTAGGAGCCCTTTTAAGCGCTAGGAATCTTGAGGAATAGCTTTTATATTAACTGGGATTTTCGTGTCACTTTTAGGGGAAATTCTAAGAAAACGGCATGACTCTGAGAATTTTCTTAGAATTTGGCCGCTAGGAGCCACTTTTTGTACAAAAATTCTTTAGGGATACGGGCCCAGGTGTGTAAGTTGATGAAAACATGAGAGTCAGCTGATGGTAATGAGAGGAAGGGATAATGGGTGTGTGTGTGTGTGTGTGTGTGTGTGTGTGTGTGTGTGTGAAAGGGGAAAGAAAAGAAATGATGTAGCATAACCAGCAGAGGGAGACAAAGGAAAGAAAACACAAGGAAAGAACCAGGATCACGACAAAGACAGTGTATGTAAGGTGTTCACGTCAGCATTTTTTTTAAAAGTCTGTATTCTGTTATATTTCATATCAGTATATCTGTTATAATATATTTGTGAATTTAATAAATCAGTAACAACTTTTTATTTTGTCTCTGAATAAACAATAATAAAAACACATTTCAATGTTAATAGAGACATGTTAGTTTATTTCTCAGCAGGACTTAGATGTTGTTTTTGCAATCATATTTTGCTTTGTATTTTGTTCAGGATTAAACAGGATGACATAACATTTAGGTGCAAATATGCAGAATAGTAAACCGAAGCTTGAGGCTAAAATGGCAAATATCTCCACAGCCACAGTGAATTTTCCAGGAGAACTGATATAAGCTGGAATAAATGTAATCCATACAGTGCAGAAAATGAGCATACTGAATGTGATGAATTTGGCTTCATTGAAGTTATCAGGCAGTGTGCGAGCCAGAAAAGCTAGAATGCAGCACAAAACAGCCAGTAGACCAATATAACCCAGCACAGCCCAGAATCCTACAGTAGAACCCAGGCTGCACTCAAGAATGATATTTTCCTTATGATATTTCATATTTTTGTGAGGAAATGGAGGGGATATTGTTAACCAAAGAACACAGATAAGAACCTGTATAAGTGTAAAGGCAAGAACACTGAGTCGCTGTTGTGATGGCCCAAACCATTTCATGACATTACTTCCTGGAAGTGTAGCCTTGAAGGCCATTAACACCACTATTGTTTTCCCTAAAACACAGGAGATACAGAGGACAAAGGTGATCCCAAACGCTGTGTGACGCAACATACAGGACCACTCAGTGGGCCGACCAATGAAAGTAAGTGAACAGAGGAAACACAGAGTCAATGAGAAGAGTAGCAGGAAGCTCAGCTCTGAGTTGTTGGCCTTTACTATGGGGGTGTCCTTCTTGCTGTAAAACAGGATGGCCACCATCGCAGTTAATCCTACTCCTAACATTGAAAAAAAGACTAGCAATATACCCATAACTTCTGTGAATGACAGAAACTCTACAGTTTTTGACACACATTCATTTTTCTCAGCATTAGACCAGTATTCAATTGGACACCGCTTGCAGTTATTTGAATCTGGAAAAAAAAGTTGTAATTACAAGTCAGAAACAAAAGGATAACAATTTTAACAATGAGCTGTAAAAGAACAACCAATCAATTTTCTTTAAACCCGAGGGGGACTGAATATTACCTGTCTCATTGCTGATTTCTCCTTCTGCACATGGAATGCAGTCATAACAGCAGACAGGTCTACCATTCTGTGCAGCCTTTCTAGTGCCTGGAGGACAACTCTCACTGCACACAGACCTTGGCTTCTGCATCCAAAAAAAAAAAAAAAATTACCTTGATATATTTATACGATTTATAAGATTAATCTCTTACTTATCATGATTACAGAATTTTGTGACTTTGATTCATAGATTATGTATTGTGAATGCTGTGGAAGTGCTATTATAGAAATTGAGCACATTTTTGTCTGCTTGGCATTTTTCTGTCACTTAGTTTAAGATATGTAGTTAAAACATTAATGATATGTTAGCTTGTTTCAAACTACATACACAAATTTAATTTGAATATTTTTGTGTTGTGGAACCATATTATATTTACTTAACATTCAATAAGTGCAGAGCTTTCAGAATATGTTTTTATAAATAATTATGTGTCCGTCATGCCTTTCATAAAGGTATATAAGTATTTCCTTTTTTGTATTTCGTTTTTCTTATTATGTTTCCTTAGTTTAAAACCCTTAATTGTCACTAGCGGGATGCCTGGTGCTCTTTTTATTTATCACTTTTTTTTATATTGTATATTTTAATAATCACCATAATTTAGGCATAATTTGAAAGCTTGCAAACTCTAAATTCCTTCCGGGATAAACGGTTTAGAAATTGGACGTTGCATTATCATGCAAACGGTACACAATAAATTCTTTTAGCGGGCTCTTTCCTTTGTGGTGCGGCCTCAGGTTTCATATTACAAAATGTATTTTAACTACTTAATAATCAAAATCTTTTCATATTTCAACAAAACAAATATCGTTGGAAAGGTCGGAGTCTCAAGGTTCTATATTTTGGCTGGTCAGTCTTAGCTGGTTCCTGGAGCGTATTATTACACCGGTGTGATTGACGTGTTGTAAATCCAACAGATCTGATTCTCTGAACTGTAAAACAAACTAAAATGGCCCCGTCCCTTTGTGCATACAGCTCAACTAACGCGATCATTATAAAGATGTTTAAACAACAAAACCCATCCACTTGCACATATTTGACAATCGGAATATCAGTGTTTCATGCTATAGCTAATACATTTGTGAATATTTTCAATAAAAAGGGAAAAATTACATTCATCATTCATTCAGCGCTGTGTTGTGGTTGCGCTGTGTCACGTGACAAGTAATGACGCGTCACCATGGAAACAGTAAAGTGACAAGTTCTCACTAATGGTCGCTTTGAAAAACTCATGCTGGGGGTCAGTTAGAATATTTTAAACTTACATGTGAAAGGGTTAAGTGCAATAATTTGCTGAGTAGCTTTAAAACCAGACCAAACTTTGGCCTAAAGCATTCTTGATTTATAGCCATTTAACCCTTTCACACGTAAGTTTAAAATATTCTAACTGACCCCCCAGCGTGAGTTTTTCAAGGCGACCGTTATTTAGAACTTGCCACTTTAATGTTTCCATGGTGACGCGTCATTGCTTGTCACGTGACACAGCACAACCAGAACAGAGCGCGGAATGAATGATGATCTGCTTTTATGTCATTTTTCTTTTTTTATTAAAAATATTCAAAAATGTATTAGCTATATCATGAAACACTGATATTCTGATTGTCAAATATGTGCAAATGGATGGGTTTTGTTGTTTAGACATCTTTATAACGATTGCGTTAGTTGAGCTGTATGCACAATGGGCGGCGCCATTTTAGTTTCGTTTTCAGTTCAGAGAATCGGGTCTGTTGGATTTATAACTTCAATTCATCCACTTCTCACGAAATACATGATAGTAAATGGCTGGTGAACTGGGAGAAGAATAGGATCAAATGTTAAGCTACTTACACAATGTGTATCTGATATGAATAAAACGTGTCGTCTTATTATAACTGAAAGGTTTATTATTGCCGCTTCTATAGACATCTGTGTGTATTTAACAAACTCAAAATCATTGTTTTGCTAGTACATATGTGTATTTAAATGTCTGAAACCTAAAATAAACATTATGTGGTTGAAAACACTCAATAGTTGTGATATATGACAGCACTGAGTGCGTCTGTCTCTGGCTCAGCGCCAGCCAACGTGCGAGAGCAAGTTTGAATTTAGCAGTTGCTGACGTGTGCACTGAACGTTCTAATCACACCGGTGTGATCGTACGCTCCAGGGACCAGCCAAGACTGATCACACCGGTGTGATCGTACACGTGAAAGGGTTAAGTTTGGATAGTGCATTTTCACATCTATTCTTAATTTTAAACTACTTTTACTACTAGTTCTACTTTTTAAAGGGAGGTGACAGTTTAACAAAGCCTGTTGGACAAACAGAATACTTGCATTTACCTCTATCTGTCCTCCAGCCCATATTATGTTTTCAGTGTTAAGCACAAAGCGCTGGTCAGGGGGCAGTGAGGCATCATAGTATCCCACTGATTTAAACTTTATTGATCCACCTGAGTCCTGCTGCCAATTGACAACTTCATATTGGGCTACTGCGCCACCAGTGCTGTCAAACCACACATGATCTCCCGTCTTTATAGTGAAATTCACCATTTTCAGAGCCTCAACAAGCTAGCGGAAAAAGGAAATGACATTATCACTGAGTCACAATTCACAATTTTAATATATTGTTCTCTCATTTTCCTAATTTTCATTCAAATGTTTTTTTTTAATCTTTTACTTGTTGTGGTTGGATTGTGAGGCCTTTTTCACAACCTTCCTGTTCTTTGCACTTAAGTAGACTGTGTAGTGAATGAGCCACAGCATAAACTGCTTTGTAGACGTAGCTTGCATATCTTTGTTCAGGCACATCTTCATTGTAATTTTTTAGCAATAGTAGATCTTCATATTTACTGCAACTTAAGGCATATTGAGAATAATTCCCCTTAGTCTGTGGACATGGAAAGGCTGTATTCCAAAATTCTTTAATGACATAATCTGCAAACCCGGCAATGTCGATTTTTCTCACTGCCAACCCCAGTGACCCTCCAAGCACATGGACACTGTTTGGAGTGATCAAACTCTTTACAGTTATCCATGACTTCACACCAATCATTTGGAGGCCTGTAATGTTCTGAATACTTAACTGATCAACAAGCAAGCCCATTTCCGGAAGTGAAACAAATGCAACAATAACTTTTGCAGTGCTTTTTTTGATCGTGTCTACCACTTTCTTAAGTTTTTCTGGCTCTGTTCGGTAGAATTTTTCAGAGTACTCCACACAAATCCCCTCCTCCTGGGCTATTTTCAGAAACATGGCCATTCCATAGTTTCCATATTCATTGTCACTGTTCACAGCTCCCAACCAGTACCAGCCTAGGTTCTTGACTATGTATGCAAGTGCTCTGCTCTGGTAGTAATCACTAGCCATAGTCCTGAAGAATGAAGGGTAATATTTCCTGTTACTGAGGCATTCACACGAAGCAGAGTGACTTATCTGAAAAAGAAAGCACAGAAAACATTGATTACACAGTTATTAGTACATTAATCTGTGATGGAGTTAAACATCAAATTGTATTGCTCGTTACCACTGGAATCTTAAAAGGTCCTGTAGTTCTAGACAGAATCACTGTTGGAGAAGACTCTGATTCGCCTATAATAGCATGTAAAGGAGACTGTCCATTGCATCTGTGTCCTGGTACAAACTCCTGACCATTCATCAGTCCCATAGTTGCACTCATGATAGACAGTCTTGAACCACAGGTATCATATATTCGATAACCAATAGAAACATTTGGGAGCAAACTTTCACTTCTGTTAATCTCCTCAATGGCAAATATCATGATTTGTGCCAGTCGAAAATCTCTCAGATACACACTGTGAAATTAAACATTAAATGGTGAAAAAACATTATGCTTGAAACGCCATTTTATTAATAAGTTGCTCTTGAAATTAATTGATGATGCATTTTAATTGAGTCTTTTTGTTTTACATACATTATCTTCTCTAATGTTTTAAATATAACAAACCTGGAGCATGATAGTAGCTGAGGTTTTTGCGTAAACTCAAATGAAGGTAATATTTCTATACTGTGGACAGGAAAAAGTCCTCCAATGATTGTGTCTCCATTCTTGGAAAGCAGTGGATACTGAGGATCTCCCATTATTCGGCAAACAGTGTTTCCTGCCTTGGTATGAAGTTGATGGAAGAGCAGGAGTGTGTAAAGAAAGAGAAGCATCCCAAAAATGTAGCTCAACTGTAAATGCCAAGTACATATGACTTGATACAGTATTTGCACTTTTATAGACATAATTAGTATGGATGAATGATTGAGAACATACCAATAATGTTATAAGGCAGGAACATGAATCAGGTCAAGAAGGGGTGGAACAAAGTCAAGCTAATTAGTCTTATTTCATACTGTCAGAAGGTAATATATGTGACCTGATCCAGCAAAATGAGTCACAGTGACCCAAATTTAAAAATTGAGATCAAATGATATCTTAGTCAAAGTCATACCTTGAATGGTTGTAAAAATATACACATTTGAATTCTGGTCGTCTGCCCTTTTTTTCCAATGAAAAACCTAAGAAAATCACTTTTAAAGTTTTTTTTGCCAGTTTTTTTGTTGATATCTTTAAAAATCCATTGCATTTTAAAAGATAAACTATTTATTTTATAGCTTAATTTGACCAAATACATATATATATATATATATATATATATATATATATATATATATATATATAACATATGAAGAGTTCAGATGCAAAAGCCTCTAAATGCCATTTGAAATTTTCTTCAAGAATGTTAATTTTTATCAAGCTTGTATATTTAAGTTCAGTAATTTCACTTAAATGGCAATGAAGATTACCTATGAATTGCCATTTACGTGAAATTACTGAATTTAAATATACAAGCTTGATAAAAATGATTATTCTAGAAGAGAATTTCAAATGGCACTTAGAGGCTTTTGCATCTGAACTCTTCATATATATATAAATGTGATTTAACCAGGCTGAAGCTCTAATTATTTAAGTAATTTGGAATAAATAATTAAAAAGGCACTTTTACAAAAATGTTCTAAAATCAGAAAGATTGAACAGAGGAGCCAGAGATTAATTCACTTTTCATACGGATTTGTCACAGTGTCTGGTTGTGTTTCCTTGTTTGTCCACTAGATGTCCTCCTTCCCCGGTGTCATGTATTTCTGGAACTGCATTTCCCAGCATTCTGTCTGTCACTGTCACTCATCAGTTCATTGCACTCAGCTGTTCCCTGTAATCATTGTTCCCAGCTGTTCTGTGTTAGTCTTGTTAGTTCTGTGTATATATTCCCTGTCTGTGTTAGTTTGTGTACGGATTCGTTGCTGAATGTCACTAACACTTCCCAGGTCTGTTTTCTTGCCTGTTCTTGTTTTGTTTCTTGTTTATTTGTTTCTTGGACTGCTAAAATGGATTTTGACCCCTGTATGGATGACTATGAGTTGGATTGCCCTGATAATAAATATGCTGCATTTGGATCCACCTGTTTCCCTGTGTGTTCCCGTGACAGGATTAGCCCACATAAGCAGAGAGCAGTCTCTTTTCTTTCGTTTTGAATGGTTTTGTTTAAAAGTAAACATTTCAATATATATATATTTCTCAAGTCTGTGAGGCAAGTAGGATACCTTATACGCTGACTTTCGGTTCATGAGACGAGCTTCAGTGCTGCCGCCTCCGTGTTGTGATTAGGCCTAGCCTATCCTTTGTCTGCAATTTATTTTTTCTTATTATTAAATCCTGGTAATTGGTTGATGAAACATTGATTTAAATTAAGATAAAATTATTTCCAAACAAAATTCAATTTAAAGAAATGCTTTGTGCTTGCTTTCTGTTTATGGCTCTTTCAGACTGCACGATTTTCAAAGTAGTCAGGTCGCTGCTCTTTTCACACTGCATGACAATCTTGGCCAGCATTCAGTCGCTGCTGTGTTCACACTGGACGATGGATCGGCAACAGAAGGTTTCACACTGCATGACTTTAGAAAAATCGCCGACAGACTCTGTCTAGCACGCTGCACGCAAACTACATTTCACAACAAACACGCGTGAGATATGAAAAGGAAACAACGCGCGACACCACACGTGCAAGACCGGAGTTCTCACGTGAGACTTTTTTTTCGACCCGGTTGTGGTACAGCTGGTGAAACAGACACGAGTGCTCCTGCCAAATTTCTACTAATTTTTCTTCCATTTATTGTGTCCAAATAGACCGAGAAGAAGCTTTTTTTGTTGAAACAATGCCATATGTTGATATGTGATCTATAACTCCTCCCCGAACTCCCTGCTGCTCTGTATCTTGCTCTCTCACTGGCTGCCGGTGATCGCCGATGTAGTTTTCAGTCAAAACACTTTTCACACATAGGGCTGTGCAAAAGTTAATTGCGATTAATCGCATCCAAAATAAAAGTCTGTTTTACATAATATATTTGTGTGTGCTGTATATAATTATTTTGTATATATAAATACCTATGCATGCATGCATATATTTAAGAATTATTTGCTCTTAAATTCTGTATATATATATAAATACATAATCTATATTATATAAATATAAATATTTTATATAGGAATAACACATTTTCTTAAACATATACATGCATGTGTGTGTATTTATATATACAAAATAATTATATACAGCACACACAAATATATATGTAAACACAGACTTTTATTTTGGATGCGATTAATCGCAATTAACTTTTGCACAGCCCTATTCACACAGCAGGATTTTGAATCGCCGACAGGTCCAGATATTTAGCATGCCAAATATCTCACGGGCGTCGGCGACTCGTCGGTGATTCTCTCAGTTCGCGTCTTTGTTCATTCACACTGCGTGATTGTCACTCGCGTGAACGAGCGCCGATTTGCCTGTGATTTCGGGCATTTGTCGGCGATTTCTCAAAACCTGTCGGCGAGCCAAAATCGTGGCTAAAATCATGCAGTCTGAACTCGGCATTAGGCTCTATGAAAGTTTTAGTGCTGCTTTCAGAGAACGGTCACATCCGTATCATTGTTTTTTCCTCATAAATGTGAACAAGGAAAATAAAATAAAAGATTTTAAGTTCTGGGGAGAGTCAACCTTTCTTCATCTGGTGGATATTACTTTTGGTTTGTGCAGTGTGGTTCACATCGGCCTATTTAAAGATTTAATTATCTGGGAATTATCTCCTCCACAACGCTGAAATTGCCCAATTTCAAACAATTTAGTAATAATTTAACTAGTTCCCTTTCGTAGTCACTCCGAGTTACGTCAGGAGTGACGGAGAATGGGGGTTTCACATAGAAAGCCAATCCTCTTCAAGTATTTAATAACGAGCCAATGGCATGAAAATGCCTTGGGTCTGCGAAATTTGCATAGCGTAACTCCGCCTCACCTCGTGGGTATAAAAGGAGGAAGTGAACGCAACCGCAGTATGTTTTCGCTTCGGAGCCAAGAGACTTCTTCACTCCTCAAGCCATTCTCACTGATTCAAGACTCTTCGAGACGAGCGTCCTCTTCAGTGTTGGTGTGACGGCGGTACCCAGCGAGACTCTGCATTGCCTGCGATCTGAGCAGTGGTCTGGCAGACTTTGCGCTTCTCCCTGGTCGCCTCAGCGCTGAAAGAGTGAATTTCCTCCTCTCTATTGAAAGAGCTGCACGAGGCACGTCTTTTTAAAGACGGTTTGCCCGTGTTCTTCTGGGTGCGGTCGATTCATGTCATTTTCTGATGGTCACGATCGCTGCTCTGTGTGCCTGGGCTTCAGCATGCAGTAGCAGCGTTCGTGGATGACTCATGTTCCTTCTGTGGGAACATGATCATCTCTACACTGGGATCTAGACTCAATGATCTGATAAAGTGAGAGTCCCCGTGTCCGCTACTCGTTCTGCTTCTTCTTCTAGAAGCTCTTCGACTCGCGGACAGGGTGATATGACGATGATTGTGTGGCACAACCCCCGACGCTAGCTCCTCGGGCCACACCCACCGCTCCAGTGTTAGAGCCAGCAAGTGCTGTATCGCATCAGGCGTCTGCCTCTTCTCGGGTAGCGTCTGTTTCATTCGGTGCTCCAGAAGATGATCCGATGACGATTGCAGCATCACAAGGCGGGCTTGATTCCTCGGGAATTGAGGATGCGGCAGCGTTGCCTCCCTCGGGAGCGTCAGCATCACCGTGTCTGATCCCGAGATGACGGCCATGCTATCTCGGGCCACCGTGAGCATCGGGTGGGAGTGGAACTCCGCCCCGGTCCCGATCTCTCACGGTTGGATAATTGGTTTTTGGGTAAAGCTGCCGCCTCACGGCCACAGCCAACCCCAATTTCCTTTTTCCCCGAGTTGCATGCGGAACTGACACGCACTTGGAGGGCCCTTCGTCCTCCCGAGATCACGCTTCAGCTTACCCGCCTTTCCTTCCCTCGGCGGCCGGTTGCCCGTGGGTACGCTGGGAATCCCCCGGTGGAGCGCTCTGCTGCGATGCTACTGCGTCCGCAGAGCGCGTCCTCCCGCGGTGCTCCCAGGCGCCCACCCAAAGCCTGTGGGTTCTCGTCGTCTATGATGGCGTGATCCTATAGAGCGGCGGGACAGGCAGCCTCCGCCCTGCATGTGATGAGCACCTGCAAACTGCTCAGGGATATGCATGAGGGGGGGACGGACCAAGTGAGCTGCGAGCTGCCGCCGACCTCGGTCTCAAACAGGCGACGGAAGTGGCCACTCGCTCCCTTGGTCAGGTGATGGCCACCACTGTGGTCCAGGAGAGGAATGACTTTCCTATGACATCTATGACTTTCGGCGGTGCGGTCCAGGACTTCGCCCAGCAGTTTTCGACCGCCCAGGAGCAGACGGAGGCGGTTATTCACTTCTGCCCCGACGGCCAGCTGCTGCCTCCACCCAGCCGTCGGTTCAGACGCCTCCGCCTGCTCGCCGCCGAGGACGCTCCCCTGCATCTCCCTTCCCTCCCACGCGGCCCCAGCAGCAGCCTTCAGCAGCCCCTCAGGCCGTGTGCCCCGCTAACGCCAGGCGAAGCGGCGTCCCTGAGGCGGGCTGCTCAGTGATAGTGTCACGGTTTTTCACAGGAGGCGGTAGCAGGGCCCCTCCTTCCCCCGGTGGAGGGCCGGCGGAGAATCTTTTGTTCCCAGCTCCCCGCTGCTCACCCACGAGTGGGCAGCGCCCTGAGTTGGTTGAGAAGGACTTGACACTATCACTGAGCACACAGACAGGAATGAGTGTGCTCG